CAGACCCTCCCGCATAAGAGAGAGCAGCAACTGCATGCACTCAGCGATGCTTTCTTCGGACAATAAGCCCAGGCGACATGTGATTGACAATGCCAGCATGGACCATTCATGTTCGGCGACACGCTGCTTCACTGCTGGTGGTTCGTACATGGGATGCTGGCACGCATTGCAGCTTTTCCGTGCGTTGCAAAACCCTGTCCAACATTGCATTTTGTTAGATGCTACGGCTCCGCATGCTGTCATGCTCTGGTCGGGCGAACGAGTGATGATTTGCACTTGCCACATCAGGGATGCATCTTTTCTAATTTTGGAAAGCCGGTTTTGCAGTTGTCACTTGTCGTGACACCGACCCTTACATGTAAAACTGTCCCTGATTCTAAAGTCTACAGCGAAGTGCAGCTTTATGTGCGATAAAAGCCACTGCATGCACACTCTTGCTTGGTCCTCGCTGGGCGCAGATGTGCTTGTTGTCGGACACCTCTGGTGTTACGGATGGGTGTGCTCTCTGCTGGTACCGCGCTAGAGTTGAACTTAGTGCTTTGGGCTTTTCGTTGCATTTTGGTCGTCTAGTTCTAGTTACCGTGCGCATTCGTGCCGGGCATGCGCTTTTCGCACTGGCACTGATATGTGAGAGTATGCTCATGGGACCTTTCTGTTTTTGGCGAAAATGCGAAATTAAGCAACTTTTGATGTTTCTGTTTTGTGCAGTGCGCATCCTTGCGAAAATGGAGCGTTTTTTTTTTTTTGCAAAACTAACATGTTGGCATTTTTACATGTTCACAACGTTATGATATGTTGCATTGGCTGAACTGTCTCCCCACTCCAGCGAGCGACAGTTTTGCAAAAGTGCGCGAAAGATGCGTAGCAAGCGCCCGGCAAGCGATTTTCTCAATGCAAAACTTGAAAAAAATCCTAAAAACAAGCTTTTAGCTTTGAAAAACTGCAAAATGCGCGTCAAAAATTCATTGTACTGGAAGCAAAATTCCCGCTAGCAGTTCCGCAGCAGGTCCCGCAGCACTTCCTCCAACCTGCGGAAGTCCCGCGGAAGTCTACAGTCATGGTCACTACGCGGTCACTACGCGGTCACTGTGGAAAGCGAGCGGTCAGTGGTCAGTAGCGAGTGGCGAGTTAAAAGTGGCAAGTGGCCAGTGGGTGAGTGGTGAGTGGCGAGTTGCGAGTGAGTGGCGAGTGGTCAGTGGCGAGTGTGGCGAGTGGCGAGTTTGCAAGTGGCGAGTGGTTAGTGGCGAGTGGTCACTGGCGAGTTGCAAGTGGCGAGTGGCAAGTTGCAAGTGGCGAGTTGTCAGTGGTCAGTGGCAAGTGGCGAGTGGTCAGTCAGTGGCGAGTAGTCAGTAGCAAGTTGCAAGTGGCGAGTGGCGAGTGGTCAGTGGTCAGTGGCGAGTTGCAAGGGCAGTGGCGGTGGCGAGGTCAGTGGCGAGTTGCAAGTGCGAGTTGCAAGTGGCGAGTGGTCAGTGGTCAGTGGCGAGTGGCGAGTGGCTGAGTGCGGTCAGTGGCCAGTGGCGAGGGCGAGTGGCGAGTAAGTTGCAAGTGGCGAGTGGTGAGTTAGTTGCAAGTGGCGAGTGGCGAGTGTTGAGTGGCCAGCGGTGAGTGGCAAGTTGCAAGCGGTGAATTGCAAGTGTCGAGTTGCAAGTGGCCGAGTGGCGAGTGGCGAGTGCAAGTAGCGAGTGGCCAGAACGGTGTCTTGTAAACAGCAGCCAAAAAGGAATGAGGCTCTTACAACCTGATGAACACAAGCTTCCAGCGGCGAAACTCAAGAAAAAACGAATTCAGGGAAAACGAATTCAGGGCGGGCAAGTGCTCCAAAACTGAAGGACCTCCAATGAAGCTGTCAAGCGGTCCTCTGCTGTGCTTTTCGGAAGGCGGGCCTGCGCTGTAAATTGCAAAGCCACAGCAGCTTCTTTTCTTATTGTGCAGCATGATATACAGCAGCTCAGAGTGGGCAGACCTCCTCGCCGGAGTCTTGCAACTTGATGTCGCGACATTCCAGAAGGAGTCCGCAAGCGTTGCCCATCAGCCACACTCCACGCACTTCCAATGCGACAGTTGCATATCTGCCGCACAAATTCATCGGAGAACATTGCAAGCGCTTTCCGTCAGCGTTCCAGAATCTGACATGATTCAGGTTCATTTTGCACTTCAGCACAAGTCCCGCTGTGGTGTCTTTGATGCAGGATTGCAATTGAAATTGCTTAGCGTTCAGCCGCGCCAAGGCCTGACGCTCGACGGTTTCTGCAAATTTGCTTGCGTCTTCAGTCAGCCGCAGGACCAGGTTCACGCGATCTTCTTAGAAGAAGGGTCATAGGATTGCAGCCCACTCGGTGCCTTTTCCACACAATCGGAGTCTGCGCAGGCATCCATTTTCCCCCGCGGGAGTTGGTCTGCAAGTTTCCAAGACGGAGCTCCTCCATGGTCGGCTGCTTTTCCTATAGCGTCCGACAGAAAAAGGTCCGACCACCATGTTCGGCAGCCCCGCGACTATTCAGGAGCTGCGCCCAAAGTATTGGTGCATCGATTCAACAAGCCCTGTCATGTGCAGTTTGCCTTGGAGCTACCTATTGCAAGTACGGTTAGGCCACGCGCCTTTGGCACAACTTGCCTTGGTCCCGAACACAAGCCTTGCAACGTCCTGGACAGGTGCTCGCAAGCCCGGGAAAACGGCGGCAGGCACCCCGCTTTGGCGCAGCGAGGCAGTCAGCCGACGCGCAAAGACAACCGAAACTCTCAAAGGCAGCTGTTCAGCATTCCACCGGCGCTGGCAGGGCTTCGGCCGTCAACCTCGCGACGGGGCCTTAGGCTTGGCTTTTTTGCTTTCAAGCGCTTCAATTCTCGCTTGGAGCTGCTTGCAAACTCCCCAAAGCACCGCCGTCAGCTTGCAGTAGTCGAGCGTGAGCAGCTCTTCGTCGTCTCGCCTGGTGGTTCCCGTGACGCCGCTCTTCGCGAAGTCCTGCGCCACAAACCCCAGGCAATCGTTCTTTGCGGTGTCGCTTCGGTCGTAAATTTTCGGCTGCGCGGCGTCGAAGATGCCTTGCAGCGCGCCCAGGTCCGCTTCTCTGATGTTCCGCTTCACGCGAGCGTCCGACAAATTGTTGAATCCATAGCTCACGGTGACGTCGCTGTCCGTCTCGACGATCAGCGGGGCCTGTCCCGAAACTCTGTTCTGCAGCCAAATCTCCTGGCCAGGCGCGTGCAGCGTGCAACCTCCCGTGGAGGGCACTTCGAGCTGCGCGAAGCCCACCGCAGAGTTGGCTTCCAGCTGCAGCCTAGCGAAGCCGACGGGGGCGGTGTTTCGAAAGATCGTTCCGACGTCGCCGCCCATGGCGGACCTGCTGATCGAGAACGCTCTGCTCAGACTCTTGGTTTCGTCGTCTTCCACTTGCAGCAGCGGGTTCAAGCTCTGATCGGCGACTTCCAAGCCCGTCGTGCCCGTGAAAAGCCTCATGTACGCGTTGACAGTCTCGTTGGAAAAACGGCTTCCGTGCCCGTCAAAATTCCCGTGAGCTCCATCGCGCCTTCCGCCCGCAGCCCGGCGCTGCCTCCGGTCAGCGTGAGCAGCACGTCGCCGCCCCTCGCCCTCACGGCGGCGGTGTACAGCCCCTCGTCAGGCCCGCTGGGGGTATCGATGGTGAGCCTTTGGTCCACTCTGGCCCTGACGCCGAAGAAGGCTTCCGAAGTCGTCACGGTGATCAAGTCGTTGCTGCCGGCGTCGCGAATTCTCGTGCCCACGGAGCCACCAGCCAAAGTCAGCCGGTCGCCCGTCGCGGTCACGCTGTTCGCGCTGATGTCGGCGGGCAAGGGGTTGCCTTCCAAGGCAGTCACGCGACCGTCCAGGGCGCTGCCGTGCGACGCCGCGAAATACCTGCCGTCGGATTCTGCCTTCGAATAGCAGTCGCAGCTCAGTTCCAGCGTGCCGGCGTTGCCCAAAATGAGCGCGCCGCTCAAGGGCGCTCTTGGCAGAACGGCGCGAATCATTCTAGGCGTGAGGGTCGTGATCACCATCGGAAAGATTCCGTTGCCTCCCGCGTTCCCGTTCACTGGGAAATAGCGGCCGTCCAGAGGGGTGAAATCGCTGTTGGAGAAGTACCTCCCATCCGACTGGCTCTGGCTGTAGCAGTCGCACTCCAGCTCGATCGTGGCGGCGTTGCCGAGTATCGTGTTCGCCGTCAGCGGGAAGCGGGGCAAAAGCGCCCGGATCATCCTGGGAGTGAAATTATCGAGGACGAGCGGGATGATGCCGTTGCCTCCGGCGTTGCCGTTGGTGGGAAAATATCTCGCGTCGCTTTCGGTCCGCGTGTAATAGTCGCTAGCGTCAAAGCTGTTGGCGGCGATCTGCGCGTCGACTTGCGAGGCGTCGTAGTACGGCACAAGTGCGTCCGAAATGGCGGTCGAGGCCTGCGCGGCGGTAATGTACTGCGTGATGTTCAGCGCGTCGATCGCGCCCGAAACCACCGAATTGACTTCGGCCTGCGTGAACGTTTCCGATCGATCGTACGCGTCGCATTCGATCTGCAGCGTGTCAGCGTTGTTCTGCAGGCTCGCAATCCGGCACCAAAGCGGCGGCGATCGCGGCGTCCGTTTGAGCGGTGGTGTAATAGGGACTGAGATCGATTCCCGCCACGGCGGCGGCAATGGCAGCATTCGTTTGAGCAGTGGTGCTGTACGCAGTCAGCGCGGCAGCTATAGTGCGTAGACCTCGGTATATCGTAGCTTTCAAGCGCGGCTGCGATCGCGGCATCTCGCTGGACCGCCGTCTCGTACGGCGCCAAGGCGGCTGTTATGGCGGCCGAGATGGCCGCGTCCGCTTGCGCAATGCTGTAAATGTCGCAAGCGAGGCTGAGAGCCAGGCGCGCATGTCGGACGGCAAGCAGCGCGTTGATGCCGGCGCTGTCGGTGTATGCAAGCAGGGCCGTCGCGATTGCGGAAGCCCCTCGCCGTGGTCTGAAAGCCCGCCGCCTGCAGAGCGTCCAATCGCCCGTCTCTAATGGCCAAGGCCGCGTCCAGCGCGGTCTGAGTGACGTAGTTCAACAGCGCCGTCGCTATTTTGTGATCCACGTCAGTGGGCGAGGTTCGCAGGCCCACGGCGGCATTCAGATCGCTGGTCGTGGCTCTATCGAGCAGCGCGGTCGCTATTCTTTGGTTTACGTCGAGTCCGGTTTGCTTGCCCGCGAGGTCCAACGCCAGCTGATCGGTGACCGTGCGCAGCGCGTAGGTGCTAGCGACAGCGGCCAGCGTCGCGTTTTTGCCACTGGCGATCGCGCTGTTCATCGCGGATGTTGTGGAGTAGCTGGCCAGCTTGGCGTCCACCGAAGCGGGGGTGCTTTTGCCGTCGACCTCTAGCTGCAGGGCGTCCAGCGCCGACTGGTTCGCCTTAGTCGCCAAGCCAGTGGTCAGGCTGGTGTTCAAGGCGGTCAAACTGGATTGGTTTGCGGCAATCAGGCCCTCAGCCGCGGCGAGGTCTGAAGCAAGGGCGTATGGCGCGAGGTCGGGGGGAGCGGGCAGCGCATCGATTTGACTCTGCAGATTTGCGATCGAAGCGGAGTTGTTAGCCGAAATAGTAGCGTTCGCAGCGATGGCGGCGG